TCAAAGTTATTGGCACTAGCTCGCTTATATTTAAACAGGAGGTAGGCTGAATATTAAGATAAATTAAATGCAGGCACTAAGACAGGACAGAACTTTCTCCGTCAACTTAATATTTATATAATAATAATAATAATAATAATAATAATAATAATCATATATTTTTATATTTAGCAAAGTGGTAGAAGACACCTTTCATTTTACAAACACTAGACGTATTTTGCCATTTGGCGTGTATGCACACATTCTCTAGCATGTGCTTTCTTGATACATGCATGGCGCACACCAGAGCGAAGGCAACAAACAGCACTGCAGATTTGTCAGTTTAAAAAATGTAGTTGATGAAGCCTCTTTGCGCACTTGTGCGGACTGGTAAATTATCAAAGATTATTTTCAATGAATTAAACTAAATAAGAAAAGTAAGCATTTCATATAATTGAAATCTGCTGTAAAGGTAAAGTAAATGTTTGCGAGAAAGAGAGGAGACAAAAAGCGTTTATTTGAGGAAAATTGGAAGAAGTAGAAAGTAAGTAATAATTTTATTTGCACAATTAATGTGTAGTAGTGTTCCAATCATCTAACAAAATAAACGCTTTGAACGGTTTCCTTTATTTCACATTTACTTGGAAACCTTAGGTCGCACCAACTGTATCGGTAAAATGGTTATAAATTTGTATTTGTTGTATTCGCTATAATATATAAAAATTATAGCTTCCAACTTGTGCATGAGTCGCTGGGTATTGTCTCGCAATCACAATACAATTGAAATTGTATTTAACGATATCTCTGAGTGTTACTGCAAATGTCATGGTAAGCTCGATTTTACAAAAATGAAAAAAGAGCTAAGCTTTAACAAACAAATTTACAATGCAAACACACTCATGCACCAGTCTATTTTTAAAATTAAAATACATCTTAACACACAAAAAAAAAAAAAATAAAGCAAAAAATAAAAAAAAAAACAACAATTTAAACAACAAATAGGACACTGACTGCAACTGCCATTTAATGGTTATTTTTAAAACTCTTCCATTTAACATGCCCGAGGTCAGTTCTCATTGTTTCAAAAGAGTTGAATGACAATTTTCTTGCTTTTCCTGGCAAATTTCATTTCATTTCATTTCTTTTTTTTTTTGCATAAAATCTTTTCACTTTGTCACATGCCGTACGCAAAAACTGAAAGAATCATATAAAAGTCTATACTCGCGGCATTGCGAAAGAAGTGAAATGAAAACTGTTTACTTCTTTACAGAGAAACTGACATAACTGACTCGTTCATCATTTTGTTTACTTTCCGAGTGGTATGCTATTAAAATTTCACTCCTCACTTTTCGCTTTTATGACGAAAGATTTTTCGATTCGTTTCGAATGCGAATTCTAGTATTGCTTTAAACAAACTGGGTAGCTATTGTAGCTCTTCAGGAGAAAATGCTTCTTTCTCGTTGCTTCGAAATTTTTTTTCTATCCCTTGCTAAGAAAATGCTGAGTAATTTCAAATTTGTAATCATTTCAATTCACTCAGAACACATTTCCTTTTCAGAGCATTGTGCACTTTGCTTTAGTTTCGTGACCAAAGAACATCCAGATTTCATTCGCATAAGTCCAGTTTCCCCCTATTTATGAAACTTTAACTGCTATTTAATGTTACCTTTGGCGAAGAAAAAATTCCAATCTTGCAATGTTTGCGTATGAACCTCATGTTCCGCAAATCACAAATCGTTTTAAAAACCTATTTATGTCATGTTTCGCTTTGTAAACGACAGCACATCACGAATGAAGAATAAGTTAGAAGAAAGTCTTTGTCGTTCTCTTCCCCGTCGAGCTCTTGCTCATGCCCAGAATGAGAAGTGGCATTTATTTGTGTCCAACGTTCAATTTTTCTCGTATTTTTTTTGTTATAATTAAATTTAAAAAAAAAAATTGCTTTAAATTGTATTAATCAGATGTGTCTTCAACGCCCTAAGATTATACATGATTCTATCTTTGTTTCCAAATATAGTACATGTTTGAATGTCATTTTGGCATTTTGGCTCAATTTCCGGCAGTGGCTGATCAAGAAGTCGCCACTCGTAGCTGACTTTTAGGCCTAAGGTGGGTCCTAGTGATCCTAGTTACCATAGACACCGAGGCGATTTTCCAATAGACGATACCATTCGCCGCCATATTGATTCAAAATCGATCTTGTTCTTCCTCTTCCTCTTCCTCTTCTCGAATTCAGGAAATCATCAGCAAAAGATTCACTATGCTGAGTAAAGAAACTTTACTTCTAAATATATACATGTATAAACATCATAAATACTTCCCTATACACCAGGGCCTAGGGCAACTCTTCGTTCGTCGTAAAGGCATACTTTTCACGGGATCTCTTTATAAAATCGGGCGCAGAACATACACTTACTTCGTCAAATTATTATTATGAACCAACTCTCATCGGAAAATATGAAAACCTACACTTTTTTCCCATGGAACAATGTGATCAAAATTTGATTCAGTCAATCTTCATGGCAGACAATGATTCTGGCCGGGTTGAGAAAATCACTATAAATCGATTGGTCTAACGAATGCGGCCATCTCTCTAAATTCTTCTGGCTGGAGTATAGCTGTCCATAGTTTAGTTCAATTACTTTCTGTTGATGACACTGCACGAGCAGTTGTGTCATTTATCAAATATTTCTTTCATATTTTGCTCGTTCACAAGCGAAGCCCCTTAGTAGGCAGTCGACAGAGATTGACTTGCACTCCCTTTTACTTATACAAATATTAAACTAAAAGAAGAGTTTCTTTGTTACGAGGAGCTTCTTGGGTTTCGGTTCAGTCTAATTTGTTCCGAATTTTGCTTTTTATCTTTATCGTTGTTATTAGCTTTCAATGGATGTCTTTCAGACTACATTACTTTAGTTTACGTACTCACGCGATGTTATATCTATATATCATGCTGGGGCACACGGTTTTACAAAATGAGGTTAGCGGTATCGTCAGACGAAATAATTGATAAAGCCGAACCGAATTGGGCTTGTTCACAACCAGAGCTGGAGCGAATTTTGAGCACATCTTGCTTCTCCCTAGGCTCTCTAACTTTGGCAAGTTTTTTGAATTTTTCATTATGTCATTATAAACAAATTTTCACCGTATTATCATAAATAAATTGATTTTTGAAACGTAACTGGCAACCGTTTACGCTTCTGTGACGATTGAAATAAAAAACGTTGGCTTCTGCGCAGAAGACAACACTTTGGTTAACTGGGAATTGGCACAGTTTTGCGCGAAATACTCCGTTTTTTTCGTTCTTTCTCTTTACTTCCTTACCGCTTACCACATCAAAGACGCGCTGTACAGAGCTCATATGCCGAAATTTATACTAAGTATTATATATATTATTATAAAATAATTATTTCATTGATTAGATATGCATGCGCGAAATATTGTTTCTTCCGCATACACAACATGTACATATATGTATATATTTTCTTTAAAAACTATTATGTATTTTAGTTACAAGATGTTAATTATTTTCATATATATATATATATGAATATATATTCATATACATATATAACATATATATAACATTTCTCTTCTTCTCATAATTTCGTTCATTATTCTATGACTAACGTAGAATGAGAAACAAGAGATTCCCCCCAGTGACAGAGGAAGTAGAATAAAATTTCTAAAATAAAAACTACATTAAGTTGAAAACAAAAACAAACATCGAAATTAATCTTCTTTTTTTTTGCACAAACGCAGTTAATCACATTGTTACGTTTAACTGTGAAAACGCTATTAGTGTGTAATGCTAGCCTAGCATAGCTTTTTTAGACGATTTTTTCGCACCTCGAAACACTAATTTTTATTTTCAATATTAAATATTGTATCTGAAATGCTTGGAATGCGGAATGGAAGGGGAATTCTATTCTATATTACAAACGCCTTGGCATAAGGATCGTTACAAGTTACGTCTCTTAAGTTAAGCCGAATTTCAGTTAATATGGGTGATACGATTTTTTCAAATTCTATTAGTTTGTTCTTCGCCATATCAGGATACTGTTCTAATAAGAGACAGCAAATTCATTACATAGTGAGTAAGGCTTTAATGTGTAATGCCAGACTTGATGTTCCAATGAACAATAACGCATGATAAGATATAATTATAAGCCGCCAAAGTGGCCGAAGGCAAGGAATCTCGACCACCAACTCAATTGTCGTGGGTTCGAATCTCAAGTGCAGTAAAGTTTTTAATAAAAGGCGATAGCCTTAGATGCTAGTGCTTTAAGAGTCTAGTCTTAGAATTTATTTCTCTGGCAAAATTAATAATAATAATAATAATAATAATAATATATTTATTCCATATTTTCAATGAAATGATCGAAACGTTTAACAGCTAGACAGATAAAGAACTGATCAATGTAGTTGAAATTTCCAACTTAATCGAAATATAGACATTTATTACCAGAGAGTGTGAATAGGTTATGAAAAGTGTTGCGCAATAAGTAGTAAATGAGTCACAGTTGCAATTTTAATAATGCGAACATTAAATTGACCGCCCTTATCAACAATCCAGCGAGAGCAATTAATACAAAGTTACTCAATAACTGTTAAGAAAATTTCTTGTTTAATTATATTTGATGTTGGCTTATACAGGAAACCGCAAAAGCGGGAAATGATAAAATTAATACAAAAGTAGTTCCCTATCTTTACTTGTCTCATGTCATTATATTGCGAACACTTTCAAACTAATATAAATGTAAACTTTATCCTTTAAAATAAGATAATTGATTTTTAATAAAACCAAATTTCAAATTGTAGTTGAATTCTTCTCGATTCTTCGATGCGAACGAAAAATCTTTTATAAACCCTAACTCAAACTCTGACTCTGTGTGTGCCTCTGCCTCGTTCATTGAAATAAATATTCAAAAAAGATAATGTAGCCGTTAGCCCTGAAGCGTAAAACGGTCAAATACACAATGGCAAAGTAAGGAAAAAACAAAAAAACTTATTTAACTTACCTTCAAGCGAAAATCTGTATCGTCAGTAATGCTTTCGAATATTAATTAAGTAACTTATTATCAAAGTTTTTGTTAACAAAATTTTAGCATTCAAGTTGAAGAATTCTTTGAAATCGCGGTGAAAATTCGGAGAGGAAACCAGTAACACAATGAGATCATTTTGAGAAGTTGTTAAAAAAAAAGGTCACATTCGGTTTTCAGTTTTTTAACGATAAAAAAAAAAAAAATTTTTTTAAAATACATTTATATATATGAAATAAAATAAAATATACGTAAATGTGGTTATTGTTGTTTTTTTTGTTTTTTATTTTTTTTTTTTTTTTTTCTTTTAATCGTTTATTTTATGTTTTTAACGTTTTTAACAAGCTGAATACGCTCGCCCAGAACGTCAGTCTCGCACACTTGTTAATACCATCCGAGAGAATTGAAAATTTGAAAAAGCAACGAATCAAACTCTCCCTCTCCTTATAGTTTTAGTTTTGGCTTTGCTTTTCTTTCTTCTTTGTACATGGAATGGTTAGAACTTGTTTCTGTTGACTGATATACTTACACAATCGTTACAAACATTTATTTAGGCGCATTCACTTACACAAACACATCCGTTCAAATCAATTTTGTTATTGCTTTACTGTATTTCTTAGCTTCTTTTTTTATTTTTTTATTTTTTTTTTGCTTCTTCAATACTTATTTGCGTTTTTTTTGTTTTGTTTTTTTGTTTGTATAGAACAGGTAGTCAATATCTGAGGGTATAGGCATGTGTATGTATGCCAGAAAACGACATGAGGACAAAAGAAAAACTCTCGCATCTAATTAAGTGTTAAATTATTTTACTGTTTTATTCGAATTTTTAATAAATTAACTAACATTCGTAGACGAAGGATGAATTCCACAAAAATAAAAGATTAAAACCCTTTAATTTATTTACACAATAAACGTAACACTCTACGCTTTCACTTTTACCTTTTTGTTGTTTTTTTTTCGGAATTTTTCACTTTTTACCGTTTTTCAAAATTATCATCATTTGCATAAAAGAAAATAACTAGAAAAGTTAACTTTTTACTTTATTACTACATTATTTATAGTTTAGATATTCATTTATTACATTTATCTCTCGACTCAAATATTTTCATATATAAATAAAAGCATTAATATGCTGGGTAAAATCGCTTAACTGAATACAACACATTAAACAAATTTATTTACGTATACTATTTCGATAAGAAACACACCCTCCAAACAAACAAAATGCTAACTGACTGAATTTGCTCATTTACATTTCAATGCTTCTTGGCCATAACACGCTAACATTAGAGAATCAACACATGCTCTTTCGGGCATTACACAGTTAAATAAAGAGAAGATGCAAGTATGAAAGAAAATCCATTAATAGATATGAAATTAATATCTCTTTACCTATGCTAAAACTACATATATTTCTCTTCTCTACTTAAATATACGACAGAATACATAGATGTTTCAACATTTTGTTCAAAATTGAATTTAAACGATTCTTAGGGAATTTTTGTGTATCTGGCTATCAATAACAGAAGTGATACTGTTAATTGCTTGCCTCTTTCATGCCTAGCATTTGTGTGTGCCCAAATTCTGTTAATAGTTTCGTGATATGACGTCGCAGAGTATACGAATTGAATAAAAAATAACAGAAACCTGTTCAAATTGCTTAAGTGTTCAACGCATAACGCAAAATTCGTTGAACACACAGCTTGCTTGCGTTGTTAGCATTTGTTTACATAAACGCTTATGGAGATGTACAAAATTAACAGAGAGAGACATTTCTTCGGAATATAATTTTTTTTAAATATCCTTGAATCAAAACACGAAAAAAGAAGGAAAAAGATATTTCTTGACGATTTCATTTATTGCTAGCGACTTCACACTATAGATAATAATATAATAATTATAATGAATCAGCAATCTTGGAAGAAACATTTCAGCGACAAAAGATAGTGGATAACAATGATTTAATAACGTGAACTATGATAATAGATATGGGTATGATGTGGGTATGTTATCGTCCTCGCCGCAAATACCAAAAGCGATGCTGAGTAAGATCCTTACATTAAAACTGAGATGTCGATAAATTATTTACGACCACCTTCAACTGTATGCAATCGTCGAGTAATTTAACGTTGGCGTGAATTCTGAAATATATAACCTGCTAACCTGTTAACGAAATATTCATTAGATCATCCATATCTGCTAAGAACAGATTGTTATTAATACTGCTGTAAGCTTCTCATTTGTTGTAGGATACTTGGTTCATGAAAGAAGTCGCAGATACTTATCGCTCAGTTGTAAAATGGAATCCGTACGGATCCCAAAGTGATGATAATGGCATTGTATGCCATTTGGGAGATACTTCGTCGAAAATCGACTAGAGCTGCCCGACTCAAAAGTCATCACAGACGTTAATATTGAGTTTCTGTACTATTTTGTGATCGACGCCGCATTTCCTCTGCGAGACAACCTAACGAGGCCTTACCCTGTGATTCTATTACCACAAGACAGGCAAACTTTCAACGAAAGATTATTCCGTTGAAGAAGGACAATCGAAAATGCGTTCGGTGTATTCGATTTTCGTTGGAGAGTGCTATTAAGACTCTCTTAAGTGGTAAAAGCTACCTTTGTCTTACATAATCTTCTGCAAATGCAGGATGCGTCTTGTTGTCCACCAATTGTTTCCGAAGCAAACAGTATGGTAAAAGAAGGGTTATGGAAAAAGAATACGACACCGCTACGCAAAGCAACAAGCCTAAATGCCAATAGAAGTGCCTTTCATATTTGCGATACTTTGAAAAATTGTTTAAATCAAAACCCAATTTACCGATACGGATTTAACATAAACTTCAAATCTACGCAAGTTTATTTAAGCAAAAAAATGTAATGAAAACAAATATTTGCATGCATATGCAATATATGTAATAAATGAAAAATAAAATATTTCTAATGAAAAAAAAATGCATTTCTCATGACACAACTTTAAGAATTCAGTATGTGTTTCTATTACTAACACCTCTCCTACTATTTCTATTTTTTTTCAACCTTGCCTTCATCCTCTCATTGGCAAAGCTTAAAAGTTCCAGTTTAAGTCCATGCTACCCTTCTGTGTCCTATTTGCCGGTCATTGACGCCAAAAAAGAATAGAAATGATTCCCACTTTGGTTTTTTTCAGCTTTTCTCTCCACTATGGTTGGTAATTTATACATAAGTTCTAAGAATTTATCGTCCTCAGCCTTCCACTTGTGGGCCGGTAAGTCAAGTTTGCTTCTACAACAGGCTAGGCCGCTTTCATCGTTAGAAAATTCTGAGCTTGTCTTTATCAAGCGTATAGCTTTCCAAATTTTTCTCTTATCGGGAAGCGTTTGTTATGTAATTGTTACCGTTGATGAACCGCTCTCATTAGCTGTTCTTCCATTTTTATACCCATCACTAAAGGATGAGGGGTTTGTCAAACGTTTGCAACGCCCAGAAGGAAGCATCAGAAACCCCACAAACTTTATATATTCTTAATCGGCATCAAATTTTAAATTTATCTAAGCTTGTCCATCTGTCCGTCTGTGTAATGTCTGTTGTAAACATTCCCTTAGCCGCAAAAAACTACCAAGCTCAAATATGCCAGAAATATTGGAAGTTCTTGCACACAGGTTGGTATTCAAAGTGGGCCAAATCGCTTGAAGGACTCGCCCACAGTACCAAACCAACTGAGAATACCTCTGTAGCAAATAAATATACAAAAATTTGAACGCGTATTTTCTGAGCGATGCTGTAGCTTCTGTGCACCAAAATGATAAGAATTGACCACGTCTACCCAATATTACAGTGTATCAATATTTAATTGTTTTTTCAATACCTTTATATAGAACGCAGAAGGAAGTTTCAAAAACTCTATAAGGTATACAAATTCTTGGCCAGTTACAACGTTTGAATGTTCTTTTCACACCATATATAAAACCATACGATTTCGTTTTCTATTTGTTCGTTTTGGTTTTGTAAGTGTGTGTGTTGTATTTTGTTTGTCAAAAACAACGCACTCAAGAATTTTAAAAGTTTCCCAAAACCGCGCCCTAACGCACAACTGCGCAAACTAAACGTTTGGCTACGTTTACGTCCGCACGATCAACTTAGTTTTGACAGTTCATGCACAAGGCCTAACGCAATCTTTGTGTTCAGCACATTTAGCTACCAATAATAACTAATTTTTATATATTATTGATTTATTTAATTGTTTAATTCTAAAATATAGATAACATAATAATAATATAATATAGTATGAATTTAGACGCCGTGTAAAGTAATTCATGTGTGATATGGATAATTGGATAAAATACGTGAAATATATTAATAAGCCAAGCAAATTAGATAAAGATGAGTAAAATAAATTACAACATAATTTTTTTTAATAGTAAAAAATTTTTTCATATATTTTGATTTTGTCAAAGTATTAGAAATTGGAACTCTCCAATACTTCAAAATGGACGATGAAAAGCAAACAAATTACATATCTGCTGGTTGATTGGTCTTTTTTCGCCCATACCCACTTACATGCCCATATTCTCTTGAAAACTTCGAATTGTATGTGTTTTGTTTGACGGAATGCGACATCATATCAAAGAAACTGTTACCAGAATCTGTACCCATACAAATAGCTATAATGCATACAAATGGCTACTAATTAACAGCGGTACTACTCCCTGAAAATCTCCTAATCTCAAATTTCAACAAAATATTGAAACATCTATGTGTGCCGTTATCTCTGATAAAAGTCACTGCATTAAATAAAGAAGAGAAATATTTGGCTTTAACGGTGACAGAGATATATCAATTTTATATATTTATTAATGCACCTTCTTTCATACTCGCAGCTTCTCTTCATTTACGTTTGTAATGCACAAAAGAGCATATACTGATTGTCTAAGAGTCTGAAAGAGATTAGAATGTTAGTTCGTTATGGCCGAAAAGCATTTAAATGTAAATAAGCAAATTCATTCAGTTCGTCAGTCAGATGCGCATTTAGTTTATATATAAATTACATAGATTACATTCTTATATGTAAATTAATGAAGTCTATAGTTAGTGGTTAGTTAGGTCCACGTAATGTAAATCTGTGAGTTTTTTATTTTATAACATGGACACGAAAATAACAGATTACTCTTGAAATCTTATGTACAGTGGCGCATGAGCAATTATGTTCGATTTATAGCCAGTTTTCTTATTCACCCAGTTTTGAAAAAATATTTTTGATCTCATTTTTACAGAAATAGAAACTATGTGTTTTAGTTACAAGAAAGTTAAACTTACACACTCATCTATAGACCAACAGAATCACGGAAATTGAAGCAGAAACAAAAAACTTAACGTAATAAAGCTTGTTTACAAACATCCGAAAAAAGATGGAAAGTAATGCTTTCTTAAATTGCTTCGTTATTTCAAAATTCTCTAAACAAGACTCCTTCTTAAAACTGCTGCTATATGGAAAGCATTTCCCATTTTCATGAAAATCGCTCAAAAATAATATTTTACCGCACTAAAGAAACGTGAAAAATTTAGACTGAATGATACCATTTATTTGGACCTTTTTCATTCAAGTGCTTGGCTGGGGAGTGATGACTAACAACACAAGAAGTCGAAGGACTGTGTAGATAAACACTAATTAAATACTTGCCATTTTTTTTAAATAAACTGCTAAAGAAATACGCAGACATTTCGTAATAAACGTTTAATTTTTCGTAGCTCGAATACTTCCAGCAGAAATTGCTTTAAAAGTAAATCAATTATCTTTCAGAACAAAACCGAAATATTTTAATGTTTTTTAAATAAATTACTCTGTTAAAATAGTTTTAGATATCATCAGAAACTGATAGGTATTTTCCAAGATGAGGTAGAAAGATCTGCATTTGCATGCGGAATATTCGATAACTCATTAATCTATCGATTTCACTTTACATTATTCTCTATAAGGAATATAGGAAGCATATGCAACGAACGTAACTGTAATCTCCGGAAAATAGCTTGAAAATTCGTTAAAGTAAACTACTTTGCTTGATTTCTGTATCAAACCTAAACCTTTCTACTTGTATACTATAAAAAATTACATAAATTGCTTGCTATTTTCATTTATGTATGTTGTCTTGCATTTCCGATAAGTTATATCTTGTAAGTACTTGAAATTTCTAAATATATGTAATTTAGAAAATTATAAATTTAATGTAAGACCACAAAACTGCATTAACTTTATCAATTGTTGTCGCCTGAACATTTTGTAAGAAATTTTCTCTATTATGGTATATATAAAAGGCGAGCCGGCTTGACAAAATTTCAATACACAAACCTTTTTAGGAAACAAGTTGAAGTGCTTTATAATGAAAGCCTGTAATTATTAAGGAATTATAAAACAAAAATTGCAATTAAAATCTTTTCGTTTTTTTCTATTACAGTAAATCTACTTCCATTATTGTTTGGCTTAATCCAATTGATTAGTTCAGCTAGCGTTCCACACAAACCGAACTGTTCATTGGAACAAAATGACTCGTACATTGCCGATCCTATCAGCTGTTCGCACTTCTACAAATGTTCGAATGGTCAGCCATATCGTCAACGTTGTGCACCTGGCCTATACTTTGATGAATCTGCAAAAATTTGTAACCATATTTCACTTGTCAATTGTTCGAAACAACATGGACAACATAGAAATGTTGCGGTTTCTGCAAATACTGACGATTGTGGTTCAAAGCCACAAAGTACGACTACATGTCATCCGCCTATAACCACAACACCTTGCGACAACGAGGAAACCACAACATGCTGCTGCGATGACGATACTACTACCCTTGTAACTACAACCTGCTGTTGCGATGATTCAACACTCGAACCGTCCACGACAGCTTATACATTACCACCTACAAGCACTAACACAGCTTATACTACCACATCGGCTCCTACCACTACCACCCAGCTTGCTAC